ATTTTTTATGACGACGGATTCGTGTTGACATTACAAAGATACCAAATAAATTTTCTGTTTCTTTTGCGGGTAATATAATAAGTAGCTTTGCCGGAAAGAATAAAAAGCTACTTAATCTGCAAATGGATGCTTCCTTGTTAGTGAATGGAGCCGTTTTGCTGAAGTACTACAAACCAGATGAGGCGGAGATTATTCTGGGTTGCCTTTCATTTCATCCCTCTGAGAGACGATGGCACGTTATACGGTTCTGTTAGTCAAGAATGGCCCTAACGACTTTAAGCACAAAGCGCCTCCAACTCTATATTCCTTCGCGTCCGCGTGGGTCTATTGATAATTGAAACGTCGATTGGACACACGAATGTGGACCTCTCACAATACAGATGGTCTTCCGCCAAACCCCTTCAGAAGTATCTATTCCTCTGAACAAAGTTGCGAATATAACAGTAACACTATGTTTAACTCACCTGTCCCTAAGAAGAACCTCCAACCCTGACTTTTCTAGCTCTAATCTCAATCACCACTTGCGCTAGAATTTAGCTCATGGCAAACTGTAAAATGAGGTTTTCATGTCTCCGTGTCTTGCCGAAAAGTCATGAATTAAGCGCTTTGCTACTTGAGATGCGAAATGGATCAGTTAGGGCATGCCAACACTTGCCTGCCATTCCGGGGTGCTCGCATTTCTTATAGGCCTTAACGAAACACTCGTAGCACGGCATTGTGTCCTTAGACTGTATCAGTCCCCCTGCCCGGACAGACGTAGTAAATATACCCTGCCTGCGTTAGCTACCACTAAGTGGGTTCGTAAATTCGGGAGGGCGTGTCGATGCAAATACAAGTACAAACACACACACACACACACACACGACAGTTCGACCATCGATTTCGATGATGTCCACCGTGTGCCCCACAGACTGCATTGTGGGAGCAGGGACGGTGACTTACGCAGGGGTTTATAGTGCCAGTAGACTTGCGTAGCATCTACCTACACACTCTCCTCGTCCCCCGCCTGAGCCCGGTGTCAA